TTCTTCATGGCAGACAACTTATGGTAACATTGTGTTTTCACACCGGAGAGTGGTGGTTTTTCCTATTTCAGAAATTTTTTTGGCAATGATACATAAAAATAATGAGATTATGTATGTAAAATGTGTCATGCAGTAATTTTATGTAAATCAGGTCTAAGTTAATTCATAGGTTAAGGGTTAGCTTAATGGGTTGTAATTAGAAAATAAATAATTCAGAAATTTATCAAAATATAGGAAAGTTAGATGCAAATTTCAATATCTTGCAATAATTTGCCAAAATTGGATTTTTGATATTTTTGACAATATCCATTGGTCTATTCACTAGTGCTTATTTCATGGAAAAATGAATGCCACTTTAGGAGATTGATGGACTCAAACTGCCTTCAAAATTGATTGTGGCCTACAAGGCCTTCTTTAATACCCTTTACCGAATAATTATTCTAGACAAATCTTTCCTGATATGGTTAATTTTTGTCTATCCAGGTTATTTTTAACAAATATAAGTTTAAATGGCCAGTAACACTTTTAAAAATCATAATTTATTGAGTTGAAACTATACACATTTTTCACTAGCATTTTAGTGATATTTAGGCATTTATGCAAATGAGGCTGTTTCTAAAAATAGACATGATGCAACAAAGTCTAAGATGTATTTTTACTTTTCCTTTATATATAAGATTTCAAAAATATAAAAATATTTCAAAAGTTCCGACATGCCATTTGGACAATATTTTGGATTTTGCATGGTTTTCTGGCAGACTGGCTCTTAACATCTGTAAAATTAAGATTACAAATATTAAAATCTGAAATCGGTGCATGTGTAGGCTGTTTTGAATTAGTTTTTTTTAATAAAGTTTTGATTTCAGTAATCTACTGCTTGCAAAGTTTATACCTTGAAAATGGGAAGATTGATTGTGATACATCAAGCCGTATATTCGGAACAGCATGCAAGTATACTTGTAACAATGGTTACCAACTATCGTCTGACAACAGTTCTGCAGTTACATGTGACATTTCCTATTCCGAAGGAGTCTGGTCACCTTCATCTAATGTTACATGTACTAGTAAGTGTGTGTATTTGAATAGACATTAGATACTAAGGGTGCCATACAAATCAAAAGTCATGATGTCAAAATGTAAAACAAACAAATATATATAATAAAAAAGACAATTAAATCATAAAACAAAATGCAACACAGAAAATTTCAAATTTAGCAATATAAAACGGGTACTCTGGAAGGATGAATGAGAAGACCCTCTATCACTGTATTGGATCACACTATAGAATATATTTTCATAATAGTAATAAATTAAAAACTTGTACATTCATTATTTGATAACGTAGAAAATCTGATCCATTTCACACTTACTGAAAAAAGACTTGCTGAAGTCTATTTTTTTTTTATCACACTTTTATTTCTTGATATTGCTAATAAATTGGTTGATTTATTGCTGGTTATGGTCATGTGGAAGTCTTTTGTAGGATTAAGACCCGCTGCATTGGACTTTCAATGAGCTAACTCAAAAGTTAAGTTCCGCGAGAATATGATCACTTACTCAGGCACATTATTATGAATTCGAACCTACTGATCTTTACTTTTATCCCTCAAAGCCGCGTGTTTGTGCCGAAAAATATTTATCGTTACCAAGCCTAGGGTCAAGCGCATGACCTTCCGCCCTTGTGCCGGGTTTAAAAATAAACTGTCTGTGTAAAAATTCAAGGTTGTAAGATATGTCTTCAATTTGCGGTTGATCTAGCCAAAAGTTCAATTGACTTTATTCGAGTGCAGATTTAAGCAAAGAACTAAATTGATTATGTACTGCTATTTTACAATCCAAGATGGCGGTTTACACTTAATTTACCATAAGTTAAGTCTTAATATTCTGTATCTTTCTATAGTAGATAAAGTGTTGAATGGAGATCGTTGATGGCAATGGTTATTCGCTTGGAGTTTAATTTATTGTATAGACACGTCTATTGGTGAAGACTATTGTTTGCTGTCTTGTTTACTTTTGTTTGTTTTGTTTTGGATGGTTTATTGACGTACATTTATTTGCATGTGTTTGTATTTATTTTCTGTGATGTTCCAATTTTAATTTTTTTTTCTCTCATCTTAAATGTAAAATGAACTGAAACTCTACTGAGCAGATGAAAGTGTTCGTCAATGCAATGACTTCGAAAGATAATACCTGCAGTATAATCGAATTGAAAAGGCTAAATCGTGTCTTTATGTAATCTTAGAAAAGATATGCAGCTCTCCATATCATCCTTGCAATGGACGCCTGTCTTGTACCTCTGACAACTATGAACACGGCACAACTTGTTATCCAGTATATAATGACGGGTATTCTACAGATTCCACGAAAAGCATGGTTTGTAACGGTGATCAGTGGACAGGTGTCATCGATCCTTGCTTAGGTATAAAACACATTTAAAATATGTAAGGTGATAAATTCATAAAATCATGATTGCATAATTAAAACCTTGCTGTGACGTAATATCATTCATAAACTGTAGTTTCTCTTACTAAAATCAACGCTTCCCAAACCAGTCACTGAGATAATGTTGAGTCAGTTATAAATAACAAGGTCTGTTATGTGCATTTAAATATTTCAATTTTATACGAAGGAAAATAGTGGTATATATTTTAACAGGTCAGGAATAACTTGAATCAATTGACGTATAATCCACCAATTGACATATATTGGTATAGACCAATTGACCTATAATGCAAGTTTTTTTGTTATTAAATGCTAGTGTGAGATAGGAGCATCATTTTGCAACTTACAACCTATTTTATGACCATTATTGAGTCCTCCGAAAGTTTCAGTTTTGTCAAAGCCTGCTGCATCTCTTGAGAATGCATGTGTACAATAATTCTTTTGATGAAACATCTGTACTATTGACCATTATTGACTTTTAATAATAAAAGTCAAGTATTAACAAAGAGCTTCATTCACCTGTGGAGTTGTACTCATAATCACATGACTGCAGACAGTATTGATGTCTATTGACAGGTGATTAGTGATACATTTGCCAATCAAGAATTGACAAGATAACAATAGAAGAAACTGCAAATACAATTATTGATTAAATGCAATATGTTATGTCACTATACTAAACTAGGAATGTTTGACATGTTTTCATACAATAATATGGTTTTAAGAAAACAATGCTCCATTTTGGTTGAATAATTCGCTTTGAAAAACAAAGAATTGGTCTATACCATTATATGTCAATTGGTGGATTATACGTCAATTGAGGTATAATCCACCAATTTGTGGTTATTCCTGACCTGTCGAACAACATTTTTGTTACCAGAATTTTACTGAAAAATGATACAACCCAGTATAATGAATACATAGGGCTTGCACCTTTGTATACGTAAAACGACGTTCGTATGCTGTTGGTACCTGCGAAGATCGGACGATTTGTAAAGTTAAGGTTGGAAGAAATAACCCATAAACAATACAAGTCTTACAATTTGGAAGGTTAGACGTTCGTCTCGTCTTCATAAGACACATCAGAGGCGCTCGAATTTAAGCAGAAAATGTGTTTTTTTTTTCATTTTCCTTTGTTTTTTCCGTTTTTGTTACTTTCTGAGTTATTGTTAGTGTTTTGCTATGAGCACGTTTTTTTTTATGGTTTATTGGTTTATTAATGACTATTTTATGCATACATGTATTAAAACATTGTTACATTACCTTCATTTAGTAATTTTGTATAAAATTTATTTAGAGTATTTTTACAAATTTACATATATCTGAAAATAACACTTGTTTAAAAATTTTGTTCTTTGATTGAAGCGGTAAAAAACCCAGCTGACGCTTTGGACTTTAATTACGTTTTAATAAAATTGGAAACGGGAAATGTGTCAAAGAGACAACAACCCGACCAAAAGAGCAGAAAACAGCTCGAGGCCACCAATGGGTCTTCAACATATCTAAATATATATCATTTGGGTAGAATCTTGTTTAGATTTTATAATATCAACATATTATATATTTAATTCTATATAAAAGATTCTGAAGAACCAGAATTTACCTTTTGTCCTACAACAATGCGTAAAATTGCTGATAGGCTTACTGGAGATATTATCGTCAACTGGTCAACACCCATTGTGTCTGATAATTCCAAAAATGAAGAAACATGTGGTTTTGGATCATCAGTTGAAATTCAGCAAATACAAGGATTACCATCAGGATCATACTTTGGAGTTGGATATCATCACATTTCGTACAATGCCACAGATAGTTTAAAAAACATAGCCCAATGTACTTTTGTCGTGATCATTGAAGGTATGTGAATAAAAAGTAAAACAAAATACCTAACTCCAAAGTAAATTCAAAAAGGAGAAGTCCACAAAAAATGAAAAAAATCAACGTTATCAACTAACAAAATGAGTTGAAATTAAATGTCGTATTTCTGACTTGGTAAAGGCATTTTCCGACAAAAAGACTGGTTTTAAAGCTAGCTAAACCACCCACTTGTATTACAGTTGTTTTTGTTCCGTTATATTGACAGAATTGGGTGAGCAAACCAAACAGACATAATAGGTTAATATGACATTAATTCGGATACAGCAGCCAAATCTGTGTAAATATAAATCACAGACATACAACACAACTGACTAAAGAATTCAAACAAACAACATTTGTTGCATTGTATTAATATGCAATAACATAAGTATATGCAATTTTAAATACGCATACACCAAAAGTGTCATAAGTATACAAACAGTTCATGAAAGCGTTCCCACATTACAATGCTTGGATATTTTGTATAACATGGTAAAATAATTACAGTAATATCAAATCAGACGACATAGTTACAAAAATTACCATCAAGGTGTTTTATTTGAATAACACTTGATCTTATCTAAAACAATGTATATATTATAGTTTCAATCTATTCTGTCTACAGAAGTTTCGTGTGACCCTCTAATACTTGACGACGAATTTGTATTGGTTACATGTCCAAATGGGTACGCATACGGATCGACCTGTTCCCTTGCCTGCTTCATGAGTTACGAATTAGATGGTGATGCTAATGTTACATGTGAGAGAAATACATCTGCAGAAGATAAAGCGTTTTGGAACTGGAACAATGAAACTCAGGCATTCTGTCAAAAACTATGTAAGTTAAGTAAAATTGTAAGTATACTCATTATGTAACGGCTATACAAGAACAATCACCTTTACAGGTCCTTCTTTGTTAACAGTTTCTGCTGTGTTCTTCTTTATGAAAAGCGCCATAGTGCGCAGTTAAAAGCTAATGAATGGATGATAATGTAAATTTATTCTGAGAAATGATGAAAGTTCCTCGCAAAACACCTAGCAGAAAAAAAGTCATTGCTATATTCCATATAACGGTGACAGTGAAGTATATAGAATATTACCTGCTAATAACGTAATGTTAGAAATCACACCTCACTCTTTTATCACAAATATGAATAAAGAGAACGCAGTTCCTGTTCAATTCTTATTCGTGTGAATGCATTAATGAATTATCAACAACTATAAAATGCACAACGGAAAATAGAGCTTTATTTTAAGAGAAAAGGTGTATTATCAGGTTAAAAAAAGTATCAGAAGATTCTAAAGGGAGATTCAAAACTCGTTCGTCGAAAAAATACTTACACGATCAGCGTAAAATACTTAAAACGACGAAAGAATAAAATATGTCTGCAAAGCACTACGTAAGAAAATAAAGACTTTGCCTTATGATAACTCAGTGTTTCCCATTATGGACTTTCAATTTTTATGTAGTAAAAATACAACACCAAGTGAGACAAAGTAGATACGATATTCTAAGGCTTGGTGTCTTACCAGGATTATCTTCTTAGATGGTTGCTATAATGTTACTATGGAGGCAAACAAAGCCATGGACAAAAGAAAAACGACAAAAAAAAAAAACAGTCACAAACATACTACACAGAAAAAATTGAGCACCACGAGCCGTATCAAAAATATGCAGTTAATGTAGATACTCTTGAATGGTCAGCATAACCTACTCAAAAAGTAACACCCGTCGTGGGACTCTTGCTAAAATCAATTGATACAAGATGTTCACTGTTTAACAGTATAAGGTTGTGAATTTCTTTAATCAGAACATCACAAAATTCATGCACCATCGATACATGTATATTTTCTAACCATTAAACCTAAAATATCGTATCAATTTGGAAATAAATACTCCATGCGCGCAGGTGCTGTGAATGTTGCTACCCAGAAAGTGAAATTTTGCAATGGGAAAAAGTAAAATAACAAAAATACCGAACTCCAAGGAGAATTCAAAACGGAAAGTCCCTTATCAAATGGCAAAATCAAAAGCTCAAACACATCAAACGAATGAAAAACAACTGTCATATTCCTGATTTGGTACAGGCATTTCCTTATGTAGAAAATGGTGGATTAAACCTGGTTTTATAGCTAGCTAAACCTCTCACTTGCATGATAGTTGCATAAAATTCCATTATATTGACAACAATGTGTGAACAAAACAAACAGACATTATAGGTAAACATGTCAAAAATAGGGGTACAGCATTGAACCTTTGTCGCAAAATTTTAGTATTGGCCTATATTGTCAATTTCTAGTTTTAAGTCGAGATAACATACGGACTTAACTTTGTTTGTTGTTATACTTTATCTCAAGTATAATCGGGTACAAATATCAACATAGTCAACAAATATCAAATCATTCAGTAAGAGAACATCAATAATATAGAGAAATGTGAATTCAATGGATAATATAACCTTCTTCCATGTTTTATGCTTGCGTCATAAGAATAAAGGAACAAGGTGACAAGATAGGATAGTTGGTTCCTATGTGAATGTCGACTGTGTGTTAAAAAAGTAATCCAAACGTTATAAATGTGATTGTTAGTTAAGAAATCAATCAATCAAAAACATTTGACTTTTCTACACTTTACACACGTATTCCCAATTCCAAACTAAAAGACAAATTGAAAAAGTTGGTTCTGCTTTGTTTCATAAAAAAGAATGGCCAACGTAGATACAAGTATCTTGGCTTAGGGAGGGATAAATCCTACTTTGTAAAAAATCACTCTGATTCAAACAAAAAATTCTCTGAAACTGACATTATCAAGATGCTTAATTTCTTGATTAACAACATATTTGTAACGTTTGGAGGACGTGTTTTTCAACAAACAATCGCCATGGGAACAAATTGTGCCCCTCTTCTTGCCGACTTGTTCCTTTATTCATATGATGCTGACTTCATACAGGAACTTCTTAGGAATAAAGAAAAGAAGTTAGCGGTATCCTTTAACTTTACTTTCCGCTATATAGATGATGTTCTCTCACAAAATAATTCAAAATTTGGTGACTATGCTGAAGGTATCTATCCCATCGAACTTGAGATAAAGGATACAGCAGATACAGTTAAGTCTGCCTCATATCTTGACTTACATCTAGAAATTGACAATGAGGGTCGATTGAAAACAATTTTTATGACAAAAGAGATGATTTCAAGTTTCCCAATTGTGAACTTTCCATTTCTATGTAGCAACATTCACGCTGCGCCTGCATACGGAGTATATATCTCCCAGTTGATACGATATTCCAGGGCTTGTTTTCCTATCATGATTTCATTGATAGAGGATTACTGCTCACAAAGAAGCTATTAAACTAAGTAGTGAAGTTGAAATCATCACAAGTTTTACGGACGTCATCACGAGTTGGTTGACTTTTATGGAATATCCGTTTCACAGACGATAGCGGATATATTTCTAATGTCGGAACTACAACCCCGTCCTCTTTTTCCGAATGTGACCTACCGAATTAGACTCATAACCGGGTTTGTATAGACATGATCAACACGACGGGTGCCACATGTGGAACAGGACCTACTCACCCTTCCGTAGCACCCCCAGTTTTTTGGTGGGGTTCATGTTGCTCAGTCTTTAGTTTTCCATGTTGTGTTTTGTGTACTATTGTTTGTCTGTTTGTCTTTTTGTTTTTTAGCCACGGCGTTGTCAGTTTATTTTCAACTTATGAGTTTGAATGTCCCTCTGGTATTTTTCGCCTCTCTTTTGCATCTTTTTTTAACCATTCCTTTTATAAAAACAAGTTGGACTAATTATTTCAGGCAGCCTTTCAGTTAAGAATGAAGAATACATATGTAAAAAGGGGAAGGAAAGCAAGTGCTTGTTTGCTACTGCATATGGGGAGAGGAACTTAGATTGTAAATTCTGCACCCTTCCGTAGCACCTGCGATCACCCCCAGTTTTTTGGTGGGGTTCATGTTGCTCAGTCTTTAGTTTTCCATGTTGTGTTTTGTGTACTATTGTTTGTCTGTTTGTCTTTTTGTTTTTTAGCCACGGCGTTGTCAGTTTATTTTCAACTTATGAGTTTGAATGTCCCTCTGGTATTTTTCGCCTCTCTTTTGCATCTTTTTTTAACCATTCCTTTTATAAAAACAAGTTGGACTAATTATTTCAGGCAGCCTTTCAGTTAAGAATGAAGAATACATATGTAAAAAGGGGAAGGAAAGCAAGTGCTTGTTTGCTACTGCATATGGGGAGAGGAACTTAGATTGTAAATTCTGCAATGGTTCTCAATGGAATAAAAATGAAGTCATATCTTTGAAAATTTGGCCGTTATAGACTTTCCGTGACACAAAATACTTTGAAAAATGTTCCATTTGTTTTAGCCAAATCCTTTAAATCTTTCTTTTCCAGTATATGCACCATTTTGAAACCACGTGGTGTTCATTTGTGATGTACTTGTACGTGTCTACAATAAAACAAATATATTTTATTTTTAGAAATTTACTTGACGTGTGAAAATATAAACGTCACAAAAAATACGTCACTTTTTGTGGCGTTTATACATTCGTGTGACGCACAGTTTATAATTCATTTGTGGTGTCCTGGTGTGCTGTCTTGGATTCATGGGAGGTGTACGTTGTTATTCTGTGGTTTACATGTTGTAATGTACTATTATATTATTTATCTATGTGTTTCTATGTCCTGAGTGTTCTTGCGTTTATTTGTACCGTATTCCTGTCACGTAATGTATTCATTTTAGCGGTATTTTTAACATTGCCATATAAGCGGGAGGTTTGGCTAGCCCTAAAACTAGGTTCAAGCCACCATTTTTAAATCCTGCACGTGGTTTTATTAGTTGTAACCTTTTTTGAAAAGTTTTTTTTTTTTCGTTACAGCATGCCCAAAGCTTCCTGTTCCCGAAGGTGGAGCATTGGTTTGTAGCACAGCCATCGGTAATGAAGTATGTACAATGTCTTGTTCAAATGAACATCAAGTTGCAAAAGGAACATCGATTACGTATATATGCAGTGATGAACAAATTTGGATACAAGGAATACCTCCAAATTGTACAGGTTAGAGACTAACTTTATGAACTGTAAATTCTTCTGTGAACTACAGTAGTCAGCACTCTTGTGTTGACATGAATTATCATTGATATGGTCATAACTATAAATTAACTGTTTACAAAACTTTACATTTTTGAATTACTAAGGCTTTTCTACCTGAGGAATAGATTACCTTAGCTGTATTTGGCAAAACTTTTAGGAATTTTTGGTCCTTAATGCTCTTCAACTTCGTACTTTATTTGGCCTTTTTAACTTTTTTTTATTCGAGCGTCATTGGTGAGTCTTCTGTAGACGAAACGCGCGTCTGGGGCAAATACAAAATTTCAATCCTGGTATCTATGATGAGTTTATCTACATACCAATTCAGGTCATGATTGATTCACTGTCAATTTGTTTCATCAAAACTAATTCTTTACAGATAGAAACTTGAACTTCCAGTGATTTATAATTTTTTACAAAACACTGGTTGCAATTCATATGTTATAAAGATGGTACTATGTAAATCAACGACAGATTCAACAAAGAGGGTATACCATAGGAAAGGGGATTTCAGAAAGTATCACTCCATTTACTTTTCCAATACGTATACAAGTGTTAATATAACGGTCATCTGCCGTTGACTAGACATTACATATTACCAAAAATCTAATTTAAAATTTCTGACATATATATATATATAAGTGTAAGCATGTGTTACTTCACTGGCTACCCTTGGACACTTCCACCATGTATTACAATGTATATATTTTGACAGTTGTGGAGTAAAAAAGATGACAACAAAAACTTATCTGGTTTTTTGTATCATACTGCGTATTTTCAGAATTTTTATTTTTATACTTTAATTCCCAAAAATGTCAGACGTTGAAACGTAATAAGACATAATAACACTTAATTCAACGAAAATAAGCTTAGAAAAATAAGTGTACAGATAGCATAACCTTTAATATGACAAATTTAACATCTTTTAGTCAATTGAAAGCTTCGATGATGTTAATATCAATATAAAATCGCGAAATCTTTATAACAACTTTGAAATTATACATTTAAATTTTGAAATAGGGTATCCAAACAAAAAAATTGTTATATTGTCATCGCTTAATGTTAATGACCCCTTCTGTACACCTGTGTATTACGAAATGTTCAAAGTGCTATGATATCAAAACAGTAAAAATACATAATAAAAGTGACCTGCCATTTCGTACATATACGAAAGGGAAACGTTGTTCAAAGCAGTAGTGTTAAATATTTCATTGCATTTAATAGAAAATGGGGATGGGTGGCAAATAAAGCCAAGATTTTTGAAAAAATCCTACAGACTTTATCACAGAGATGTTCGTTATAAAATTGTAAACATAGATACTCACTTGTTTGTCCATGATGTGCTAGCGTTTATTGTCTTCAAAAAGTCCTAAACAACCTTTACAATCTCAAAAAAACTCTGCTGAGACACTAAAGTCGAGCGCACCTTAGAAGGTGTATTTGAATAAGTCCATTTTTATAACTTGTTTAACCAATATCTTTATTTATATAATTGTTTTAGGGAAATCATTGCTAGCACTGCATGCAATAATCCTCTTAATATGAAGTACTGACTTGTCAAATATTGGAGTACAATAGTAAAGGCTGTTGATTTTTTTTTTATAAAATTTCCATATGTTTACATCTAGAAATTGACAATGAGGGTCGGTTGAAAACAAAACTTTACGACAAAAAAGATGATTTCAGTTCCCAATTGTGAACTTTCAATTTCTATGTAGCAACATTCCAGCAGCGCCTGTGTTCAACGTTTATATCTCCCAATTAATGCGATATTCCAAGGCTTGTATTTTCTATCATGATTTCCTTGATAGAGGGTTGCTGCTCACGAAGAAGCTATTAATACAAGAGTTCCAAGTGAAATCGTCCCTTCGTAAATGTTACGGACGCCATCACGAGTTTGCTGACCGTTATAAAATATCCGTTTCAGAGATGACAACGGATATGTTCCAATTGTCGTAACTGCAATCCCGTCCCCTTTTCCTCGAATGTGACTTACCGAATTAGACGTATCACCGGGTTTGTAATAACATGAGCAACACGACGGGGACCACATGTGGAGCAGAAACTGCTCACCCTTCCGGAGCACCTGAGATGGGGTTCGTGTTGCTCAGTGTTAAGTTTTCTTTGTTGTCTTTTGTGTACTGTTGTTTGTCTTCTTCTTTTGTAGCCACGGCGTTGTCAGTTTATTTTCGACTTATTATAGATATAAGAAGATGTGGTATGAGTGCCAATGAGACAACTCTCCATCCAAGTCACAATTTGTAAAAATAAACCATTATAGGTCACATTACGGTTTGAATGTCCCTTTGGTATCTTTTGCCTCTCTTTAGCATTTGAAAAAAAAGGGTACACTATCCTTAAACATTTCTCCCGAATATAACTATAATGTATATATATATATTTTTGCACCTCATGTTTGCGGTATACCATCTTTTCCGCAAGTTTATTGTTTTCTGTTTGGTAATAAATTAATAATAAGATCCATTTTTACATCTGGTGATCCGTTCATTTGGCAATCGCCAATGGCAGTCAGCAGGGTTTAGAACATCAGTTGTTCGACCTGCTAGTCAAATGCGTTTTGTTAAAATATACTTTTTCACTTTTTTGGTCTTTTGGAAAATGTTGTTTGTGCTGTATTTAGACCCCTCTACCAAGAAATTTGTTTTGCATGCACACGTATAAAAATTGCGGTTTTTATCCAAGGCAATCATAGGTTTGAACGTTGTTTTCAATTTACACTTGTTTATATTTTTTCGTTTGGGCTTGTATTATATTTGCCTTCGGGTTTATATGATCCGTTCATCCTATTTCGACTCTTTTCAAAATTCAAGAGTCTATTCTTAATTGAGGTAAATTATATGGCCTTCCAAATACCGTTTCGATTCCTAACATCACTGAAGAGACATTAATTGTCGAAATCCGGATATGGTGTACAAATTTTTGCACCTCATGTTTGCGGTATACCATCTTTTCCGCAAGTTTATTGTTTTCTGTTTGGTAATAAATTAATATTAAAATCCATTTTTACATCTGGTGATCCGTTTATTTGGCAATCGCCAATGGCAGTCAGCAGGGTTTAAGAACATCAGTTGTTCGACCTGCTAGTCAAATGCGTTTTGTTAAAATATACTTTTTCACTTTTTTGGTCTTTTGGAAAATGTTGTTTGTGCTGTATTTAGACCCCTCTACCAAGAAATTTGTTTTGCATGCACACGTATAAAAATTGCGGTTTTTATCCAACGCAATCATAGGTTTGAACGTTGTTTTCAATTTAGACTTGTATATATATATATATATATATATCTTCAAATAAATAATATGTTTAACGATAGTCATAACATATTCATGTGCTATTCTAGTATGTTCCATTCTGAACCAAGTTTACTCAAAAAGATTGTTAGACATACTTAAAACATATTCTCTTATATGAGGTATAAGGTCTGTGTGTATTGAATCAATTGGGAGTAAAGGGTTAAAATGTACATTCATCCGCAAGGATTTTATGCACTAAATTTCCATTTAATCATACAAATTAGGACATGTTTCAACTAAAAAAGAATTACCTCGTCGTTTTTATTCATTGTTTGTATCTTAAATGTTGAATGTTTACTTATCTCAAACGCAAGTTCGGCTGAACACGCCGTAGACACCGAGTGCAATGCATGAAATAATAAAATCCGATGAAATCCAAGCATTTCAAATATTTCTATTAGTTTTGTTTCGATTGATTTACTTCATGGAATTAATGTTTGAATTTCGTTTCTGGTGATCAATAGATCTCGTTCCGGTTAACAACCATTTCTTTTTCAACACATTCATTGTACATTTAGAATTTCTTAGTTTTACCATATTATATGATTTATGTTATTAGGACACGCGAAATTTAAAAAAAGTGTGTATTTCATTTGAAAGCATTTGGTTCGATACTGCAGCTGGTGGACTGGTAGTCCCCGAAGGTATCACAATCTTTTGCAGTGCATCGGTACTGACATTATTTTTATAACATTAATTTATTTAAAATTCCGTTTTGAAATTAGGAAATTATAAAATAACTAAGGTTCCAACTACATCATGCAAAGTTGACCTTAGATGAAATTGGTTATTCTGTTTAGTGTTTTTTTCTAATATATGACTCCTTACGTTGCAGTGAATTTATGCTTCCTTAGTATTCAAATGTTTAGGTTTTAGTACTCCTGTAATATCAATCCAAATAGAAAAGCGCTTGAAATGAATGAAATTAATAAAGTGTTTATTTCATTTATTAGTCACACCATAAACCCATGGACATGCAAAAAGTGTTGTCAGTGTATGCTCCTGGTGCACCTGACATTGTATAAGAATTCACAAGGATGTACATTAAACCATTAGGCTACATGCGGGCCATTCGAATCATACAAATGCATGCATTTTCTTTTATTCAATTCACGTCTTAATTTATTTTATAAAAGTGTCCTTTTTTCAATATTTTGATATAGACAAGGTGCATCCTAGGAATGCGATTGGAGAAGAGGAGTTTTTCTTATACTATGAAGGAAATTGTTCTGATCTAACTACGATTGAGACAATAAAAAGTCATTTTATTGAAACAATAAGAAGAGTAGAGAGCACAGAAGGGTGGAGTAACCTCTGTCCAAGTAACTGTACAATAGAAGATGTTGTTGTGGATTGTGGATCCCTAAATGGAAAACGCCGGAAGCGATCTACTGAAACAGATGCGTTTCACAAAATTTTCAAGCGATCTACCGAGCCTGTGAAGATTACATTTAACTTTATATTAAATTTCCCGTGGCAGACAGACAAGGGCCTGTGGGGAAATGATGACATTTATGCAGAAATGTCTGATTTTATGAGCAATAGAGTGGAAGAGGGTATGGTTGACTTTCCTAATGTAACAACAGGTTCCATGCAGTTTGGATGGCTTGAGTACAATTGTCCATTGGGACAATTACCAACCTACAATGACGACGGAACGTGTGGTACGTATAGTACCGAGAGACGAATTAAGTAATTTGGTTGATAATAAATTGGATCAAACACATGACACTTTTAAATAATTTAGTCATTGGTTTTGAAAAATTAACGGTTTTTTTTCTGAAAAAGAGCTTTTTTTTACTGTTACTTTTTACAGGAAACTTGCAAAGCAACAATCCTGGTGCATTTTCTTGTTATTTGTGCAATCAAAATCTTTAAATCCGTGATCCCGAATTAAATTGATATTTTTGGAAGATCATAAACGGAATCCTCTTCACAATGAGGTGTATGCCAGAACAAAATCATTAAGTTACGAGTTATTTCTAATTTATCATTTCCCAATTATTGGGAGACACACACAATTTCAAATTTATGTTATACGGTAGCTTATAAACGCATAATAAGTTGTATATTATAATGTATAATTTTGGATCATCAATCTAACGGATTCAATGTTTAATGATCACAAGGATGTCTTCGTTCAAGTTTTTAACTTCCTTGTTCCAAGGGTTACAACTGGTGTATTGAAACAACACTCATATTTGCATAACCCATATGTTACTACCAGTTCAATGTGATCTTAAATTAATTGAAAGAGTGTTTGGACTAAAGCTTTATATGTTTTTCTTTGCTAGAAATAGATCATAGAATGAGATTAAAAAAGTCAATATAGCAAATTTGGTTCTGTTAAGCTTGCTTTAAAGACCTCCCAGTATTCTTTGATACGGCCTTAACTGGTTATCTATTACCAATATTTTTGTTTTTATCGTCGTTATGAAAGACGTTGGATCTTTGTTGCTTTTATCTTATTTTGAATGTTATTTAAGAAGGTCTCCGACACGGAATAAGAAACACATTGTCATATGGCATATTATTTTATTATTTGTGTTATTGTTTGTTTCTTTATACCTTTCCGTATGTATTCATTTAGTTGGATGTCCCCCAGGACAGTACCTGGACAATGATGATTGTCTAGATTGTAGCAAAGGCTATTATCAGGACAAAGAATATCAAATTAACTGTGAAAAATGTCCATCAAACCAGTCAACGGAAAGTAGGAGATCAATGTCAAAAGATGATTGTCAAGGTAATTCTTTGCTACAAAAATGTATGAAAATCAAACGATGTTGTGTGTGTAAATGAAAGACCTGTTAAAGTAATTCATTTCTTCGAGAATGATTTCCGGACATTAACTTGTACCAGTATTTTTTCGGTCACATGATAAAAACAAAATGTGTTTGAACCTAGCTACTGGATTTTATATATTAAAAGTTTAAGTTATACGTTAAAACGATTTTTTACAATTTTACATGTATTCACGAAATCAATGTTACTCAGTGCTGCACATTGCTGTCGTACACAATGTCTTATTTTTAAAAACAATATTTTGACGTGTTTTTTCCCCAAATATTAGTAGTATAATGTTGTTTATTTCAGATGTTTGCCAACCAGGAACATATTCAAATACAGGCGTAGTTCCCTGCTCACCATGCCCACTTGGGCATTATCAACATGGTTACGGTGCAACAGTGTGCCTTTCATGTCCATTACAAACATTCACGTTGTCCACTGGTTCTAATGATTGTCAAAGTATGTATGATATCGTACTTCTTGAATTCTAAAAACTACCATAATCTGTTTAACAGCCAACCATTATGTTTTGCAAGTACAAAACACGTGCACATAATTCCTAATAGATTATACGTAGTTTTAAATTGCTAGTTTTACATATCTTACAAATATAATTCAGTATTCTAGTAAAGATCAGAACAAGACCCCTCCTTGTATGGGGCATAGCATGTAGGAATAAAATGTTGATATGTATTACATATATTTTTAATTACATCAAAGAGTCCATACCATCATGTTGGTTCGTGCCTCTTATTACGAATATTTATATTATTAAACTTGAAATTGAATTTAAAACGAAACAGCGTTACATTGACCGAAACTTATAAATAGCGATGAATACAACATATCGTTAAATAGCGTTTCAGTTATCAAAGGAGAAAAAGATATATAGAGTTTCATAAAAATACAAAATGTACCACTATGCGCTATTATATGTACATGTAATGACTCGCACTTCTACAATAGAAAAACATTGAAACGAAGACTTTTAATATTCCAAACACTTATTGAAACGAAGGTATATTTTTTCTTCTTTAATTCTAGGAATGGACGCTTCTTTCACTACAGAAAATGGCTTGATGAATTTAAAATCATTGTCATATAATATTGAAGATTATACACTAAGCGTCTTCCTTAAACTAGATTCTAATTCGCAGTGCATCGCAGTGACCCTTTCCAATTTCCAGATAAATATTGGGACGGATATCGAGATGTCAATTGCAAGGTATTAAAAGAAAAAGATTTTCAGATTGAAATGGAAAATTTACCTAGCTTTAAATGGTTAAAACAATCATTATCTATAAAGTTTTGCTTTTTATTTTAAGTTCTTGATATTACGTGCAAATCTCCTACGTCATTTGATCTATGGTTGAGTTTGTTTCATAGGCAATCATACAACATCTTCTTATTGTTTTAAAGCTATAATATATAAAAAAAAATTTATGAAAACAAATTCAAAGGAATATATATTTATTTGTGAATACAGATACAAACTGTTAACTATTATACTTTTACTTATAGCTAGCTCTAAGCCTTCACGATGTGTTCACCTATCTATGCGGTAATAAAGATTCGTTTAATTATGATAGTATTTAGGTTATTTACGTACTATATTGTGTTTATTTTCCCTTACACATACATATTTATTACTCAATATAAAATGAGTCTATTCCGAAAAAGAAAATATGTATATTGTAGTAACGAATATAGCTTCACAGTTCCCAATGATACAGTATCCACAGTATGGACTCCTGCTTCAATTGTTTGGAAAAAGTCGTTACAGGAGGCAAGCTTCTTTTGGAATGGAAATAAAATTACTTCACATATATTTGATACTGCGACAGCTGAGGATATTCAAGTTAATGTCGACAGTTCCATTCAAATCGTAGCATTGTCAATAGGTAAAGTGTTGTTGTCTCATGATAATTGTCCTTTCAAAAGAATAATTCATCGGTAGTCTTCGTCCAGAAAATTTTAATTTACACATTGTAATAGGGAGATCCAATGACTAGTGATTTACTGTGCACATTTAATGGAATTATGACAATTTATATAGACAGTAACCAAAAAGAACATAAATTATACATTCTTAGTCAATCAAATTTATATAAATATTTTGAAGGGTATATATCTGCGTGTTTATTTCCAAGAACAGGTCATTCTGTCTTTGTTGGAAGTGGCCGTGTTGTTGATAAAACGCGTCTAATGCCACGTGCTCGATTTCAACTCTCATTGACAATTTTGTATAATTATGCTGATCACACAATTCAAAGTAAAGTAATAAACTGTTATCGTGCACATTTGTTACATTAATCATTTGTGTTCAATGTTTTTATTTAAGAATGCTCTTTTACTGGATTCATATTTACATCTGAAGCTCTGTCAGATAGTACAATACACGACGTTGCAAAAAGTTGTTTTCCAACTTTCGATGGTGTTGTCTTGACTATGAAGGACCTATATATATCAGAGAAATCGGACGTACAGTGGACGTATTCCAAATGCGATGGTAATATTAAGTTGTAGCATGCCTAAACTGCTATGTATTTACTGGTGCTAGTCCAAATTTTTTCCTTCGAGCTATCATATATGTTAAACAATTGAAATAAACGTCAAGGTGAATTTTAAAAAATATATATATTATTATTATTCATATCTTCTGGCCTATGTTGTAACAAATTTCTTCTAAATATCATTATTGTTTATTGAAGATCTGGCCTATAGTGTGACAAATCTCTTTTAAATATCATTATTGTTCATTGAAGATTTGGTGATCATTGTTATATTTCGGAATTGTTGAAAATCAATATATAACGTGTTGAAATGAGTTTCGATAATTAATTTTACATGTTAAAGCCATGCAGCAAGTGATGAAAGCATGGCATATTACCCACTTGCTTTGCTTCCATAATGTATTTCTGTCTTTTTTGTCTTTTAGTCACCACATTCTATGTCTTTTATTGCATTCTTATGGCTTTGATTGTCCCCTTTGGGTCTTTTTTTTTTTATCGCAACACGGGTAAATTAGTAACGATATGATGGCCCCTATGGATCCCTACATTTCAAGAGGTATCAGGACGTCACATCTTCTGTCAATTGTTATTGTTTTTCGTTGTTTATTTTTATACAAATCTTGACAGGAAAAGTCTCGTTTGCAAAAAAATTAAAATAACAAATTTTTCCGAACTCCAAGGAAAATTCAACATGGAAAGTCCTTTATCAAATGGCAAAATCAAAATCTGAAACACATCAAACAGATGAAGAACAACTGCCATACTCCTAACTTGGTACAGGCATTTCCTTTTGTAGAAAATGGTGGATAAATCTGGTTTTATAGCTAGGTAAATCTCTCACTTGTATGACAGTCGCATATAATTCCATTATAATGACAACAATGTTTGAGCAAAACAAACAGACATATTATGTAAAAATGTCAAAATTGGGGTACAGCAGTAACATTCTGTTATAATCCTACTCACGAACCAAATTGCATATAGATACTTTATAGACACAGCGCATTAGCAAAAATGAAAGACGCAATAAATTTGTAATACGGTTCGCTGCTGACCTCTTACGGATAGGTAAAGGGTTTTTAAAATCCATAGAGAATTTGGCATTTGGCATCACACCCCCATGAATTTTTAACCCTCTTTGGATTCGTAGGGACTCAGTAGCAAACTATATAACTTATAGAATAGTAGTTAATATTCCGAACTATTCTCGAATATTGTATTTTTTTTAAATTTATATATAATGTATACTTTAAGGTACACTAAATCTTGTTATTATGTATGTAGTGAAATTAACTTTTTTGCAGTATTTGACGAATGCATGTCAAATCCTTGTGGTCAAGGCAACGTCTGTGTAAACAAACAGTCTGGATATCAATGCAAATGTCTAGGCGGATACAGTGGAGATAATTGTGAGGTTCCTCCAGACTTCTGTGAAATAAATGATTGTAGAAACGATGCAACATGTTCGAGTCACTTCTCCAATTATACGTGTCATTGTTCAATGGATTTTACTGGGACTTTTTGTGAGAGTGAAATAGGTGAAGTTTATTTTAAAGATCGTGGCATTCGTTTAGTTATTCAAATTAAATCAAGATGTTAACCTATCAAAATCGTCTTTGTGCGAAATGTAAAATACATGTTTTAAAGATATCGTAATTAATTATTTTTATTTATTCCAGCGTGTTTTCAATAATTATCAAAAGCATTAGTCACCAATTTAAAGAGTACCATGTGTAACAAGTAGGCAGAGCACAATTTGCGTTATTCTACATGTATTCCAGTCTTCTCAAAGAAACCACATACTATTTAATGTGGTTATTTTTTCTAGTCAATGGCAACTGGGGTTCTTGGTTAAGTTGGTCAGAATGCTCAGCTGTATGTGAAGGTGGTATCCAAATAAGGGAGCGTTATTGCAATAATCCAACTCCCGATAGATATGGTTTAGCCTGTGTGGGCAGCAGTACATCAAATCAATCGTGCAACATAGACCCTTGTCCAGGTATGAATTAAGTATTTCAGGGTAAAATGTATTATACTAATATCAATTTAACAAAATATTACGTTCAAAATTATGTATGAAACGCTTTGGTAATGCAAGTTTATACAGAAAGAAATTAATAAAACGGAAGAAATCTCAAATCTAAAGAAATATTTGCTGCATTGATACATGTACTCCTCGATTTGTTAAAAAAATCCAAACTCCTTTTAGTTAATATATTTCAAAATAACGTATATAATAGTCAATGCAGTCATTGATTTTTGTGTCGACGGCAACGAAAGTCGCGGAAGCTTGACATAGCGACTCTAAATTTAGGATTCAGTTTGTGGTTAAAGTTTTATAAACCCTTTTTACTTTTTCAAACCCTCATGGAAATTTACGACGCTTAGATCAAAGCTTCTGAATCATCAAAAGACACTATCGAGAGCAAAATTTTGAAAATATTTTCTTTTCATTTTCTATAACTTACTGATATAATGACATTTTTTTACCGTTATTATACACAGTCTAAGGTTAAAACGTTTTAGACATCATGTATCTTATCAAACCTTATGGAAATTTATGAAACATTTCTTCCAGTAAACATTGTTATATACAGTAAGAATGTTTAGACATAAATAAAAATTTGTTAAATCTTCATGGAAAGATGGGCAAGAAATTTTTGCCCGAAGCAAAGTGTTTAGTGGGTTATTTTTTTCTGTACTTTACTGATAAAAAAAACTGGTTTTTTTTTGTAGTCAATATAAATCTTTGACACGGACAGCAGCTATCGCAGGCGTGACACAAGGTTCCGCGGAACTTTTTAATAAATGCTACACTATGTTCAATGTATTTGATAAACAAAATTTGTTTTCCTTTATTCAGTGTGTCCTCATTACTTTACGATATATGCATACAAGAATGTCTTCAATTGTACAACGGCAGCAGATACTTTGTCATGTACCGTAACTTGCCAAGATGGCTATACATTTGTTAGAGATTATCTCCCCCTTGATTTGTATGAATGTGGACCTGTGACTGGATTTGCCTGGAATGCCCGACCGCCACCATGTGCTAGTAAATATTATTGTGTTGATTATTAATTTAAATCCAATTATATATGATTTCCTGATCTGAATGTGTCAATTTATTTTATATTCTAAATAAGGGTTATATGAGCCTTATTTAATATATATAGTCAAGCAAGTTAGAATGCTTTCCATTAGATCTATTTATTCCAAAAAGGTGCATTGTTTAAATGCTTCTGGATACCGTTTAGCACAGGGACAGTGCAGTTTGAATTAAACAATTCTATTATGATATGTTATTCTAGAATATGACAAATATGAGGTAAACATATACGCAGAATCTGTTTCTATGGGAAATATATGTAGATTTTCCAGACCATATGAGTATTTTGACCATATGCGAACGATCATAACCATATGCGTATATACTCATGTGTCCTACGCGTATGGTCCAGGTATTTAATACGATGAATGTTGCATTAGGTATGACTCTTCAATGTGTCATTAATAAAGAGTTTCTAATTGTGACTTATTTAATCAAATGGTAATCATTTTTACATGATTAATGAAATAAAATGAAATTTACTCGTAAATTCAAATTATAGTTGAAGTTTTTTACATAGTCAGTATCGATTTTTCCTTATGAAAAACAGTATGTCGACTTCGACTTTGGAATATATATAATTTCAAGAAATTTTAAATGAACCGTTAAACAACAGTTTACCTTGCAGGAAATTTGGGCATTCCACCCTCGTTTTTTCTTTTGTTTTCTTTCTTTTGATGTTTTAATTTGTTTTTAGTAAATTAAAATTTCTTCGGACGAAAAGTTCACAGGAGAAAAACACTTTAAATTTACCCCTGCGAAGGCAAGTTAAAAGATACACTAAGATTAAGACAACATGTCAAAGATAAAGGATTTCAGTAAGTACATTGTGCCGATTGTAGTTTGGTGAACAAGCTATGTGATCCTGCGAAGGAAAATAAAGTTTTTTTTCGAAAAATACCTACATGGTCTAAATACTCCTACGCGTATGGTCCAAATACTCATATGTTCTGGAACATATATAACGGATGTCTCACTACAGATTTTTTTCTAATCTATCTACTTTTTTACTCGTATAGAACTAATGCATCTATTTAATGAAGAAGAAAAAAACACAAACCAACTGGTCGTGGTTATTGCAAATATTTTTGGATCTTGAAGCATCCACTGAAAAATCCTGGAAATATGATTTACGTCCGTGCCAAGCTATAGACATATTCAGGACGAGAACATGTGATACATATATCAATATGAACCAAGCTTTGAACTAAAACGACATCATAAGTGGTATTTTGAACGCGCAAGCTCGCAATGAAATAGTCCGCTGGGTGACACCTTACGTTGACAGATTGTTCTGACTCCGAGCGATCCAGTATTTGATCTTGCGCCCACAGGACGCGTAGAAGCAACAAAAACAAATGTTGATATCTTTGGCTTGACCAGGTTGGGGATCGAACCCACGAACTCTCGCACTCGAGGCAAACACGCTAGCACGAGACCATAGAGAAAGTTCCAGTCAAAAAGAAAAGATTTATCTGATAAAAATATCAATTTTTATATCTTTTTTCAACTAGGTAGATTATTCTAAAGATCTTACAGTAGTAATTTAATTGTGAAAGCTCCGACCATTCAACTTTTGTGTTGTGTATATTCTTTTTTTCAAAATAAAAAAAAATAAAAAAATTATTGCAAACAAATCCCTGTTTCTCTATGTTATTGAAAAAATTAAATTTTATCAGGTAACATTCATCTTTCATCTTTTAATATACAATAATTACATTGCATGTATGTTTGATTAGAATCCGTAATTTTTATTCGCTGACAACAATCGCGAGGCACTCAAAGATCATATTTTATTTCCATATAAAGTATAACAGCTCTGCCTGCACATACTGTCCGTGACAATGATAAAATAGTGCAATGATTAAAAAAAACGAAAAGCTTAATATAACTCTTAACTTCATGGTTGAAGCATATAAATTTAATTAGATAGAATTGAATCCTGCTTTTCATAATTTTATAGGATTGTAACAGAGTTGATCGTGCGCACATTTTTTAATATGATTTTTCAAAAATTCGATAATCAAAACGAATTTTCCAAGTAAGCACATAATACTGTCTGTGTTTTATGTTTTACCTTGCACTGCGTTTCAGTAATTTATTTTCAGTCCTGGTATAAAGGTATAGAAAGACAGCAATACAACTTTATGATATAAAACTGAACATGTATGAAGCAGTGATGCTTTCATTGTACTCCAATTCAACCGTTTGTCAAGTGTGTGTATCTGTGTGTCTGGAAACCCCGACTATTTATTTGTGATCTTAAGTCGTCATAGAAAACACTGTTTTCAAAATATGAATTAAAAATTGAAAATAACACTTTATAAATTGTATTCGTCCGAAGCGCTTTTATATATTGATAATATGTTTCGACAAAGCTGAGACGTTATATCCTCTTCTGTAGTCGGTGCTAACATTTTGTTGGATTTTTCAGGTGCAAAAAGTCCAAGGACACTACAAGTCAGCACTTCTGTTACATACCGTGCCGATTGCAGCAACGAAAACCAAATTTCGAAAGCTATATCGCAATCTTTAAACGAACTTCAGTGCGTCCAGAATAAAACATGTACAGCTGCCGCTGTAACATCTGGTTGTGACGACAGTCGGAGAAAACGATCAACGTCATCATTAAATGCTGTAGTACAGCTTTATACAGAACTTTCACAGAACGCTTTAAATCTAGATACGTTCTATTCAAACAATATAGGTACTTCTTGGATCTTTTAATTTTATAACCAATAAATGCAAATGCCATTTCATGACGACATCTGAGCAAACGAAAGAATAATTTTTTTTAGTACCGTTAATTATATTTTTGTTTAATATAATAATGTTTATTGTAACGCATAAACGAATGTTTGTTTAAACTTTGTAGATATACATTATAGTATTGTAAATTAAGTTTAAAACGTTTATTTGCAAAACAAATTTACGGGAAATAAAAATTACTGTAAGAACAAATTATGAATGATATGATGTATTATTTCTTTTTAGTTTCCCCTGGTTTATCAGAGCTGATAACAGCATATACTGATTTAACTATGTCAGTTATTCAGATGAATACTACGGATGTTTTAACACTAGATACTAATGGCAATATATTCACAGCGGACCTCTCATCATTAATTGTCACAACTAGTATGATATGCCCAGATGGGTCAGTGGAACAGGACCTGGTTTGTGGTATATATTAAAAGCAAATTTCAAAACTAATTAACGTTAATTAAACAAAGTAAAGATGACTGTGCTCACAACCTCGAAAACAAATAATGATTTAGTCAAACAATCTATGTTTCCATGATTAGATTTACTTGATTTTTTTCTTACATAATATGACTGTGTAGAAAATGAAATGAATAGATAATCAGATACCTAATCGTTAAGAGTATAAATTGGGAAATGAGAATTTACTGTCTAGATAATTGTCTTATTATCAAAATATTTCAAGCAATTTATTTAACAACAACATTTCCTTCATCGTATGTTTACATGTTGCTTTCAGTGGAATGTCCGTATGGTACATTCTGGAGTAATGGACTTTGTGTTATGTGTTCTAAAGGAACCTACCAGGACGCAAGTGGGCAAATGCATTGCAAAAAATGCCCAGAAGGATTCACAACCAACTACATTGCATCTACAAACGAAACCGAATGTAACAGTAAGTGGCAGATAGATTATCATGAATTTATCATGAATTAAGGAGATTCATCGGATGCATAACAATCTATATAATGATTAAGCTCAAAACATCTAAATCTACAATTAACTACTAAAGGAGATAACGTGTATAGTAACAAATACCAAACTATAACATAAAGTATACAAATTATAAATAGGGATAACCCAAGTTGACATACATCTGCAAAAGATTTTGACCCTTTTGGTCTAGTATTTATTTGTATTGATTTTCTTGTCTGTTTCAGTTGAACAAGCTACAGAATCAACAGAACGATCAGGTATTTTCTGTTTTATTTTAACTTTGGTCACACTGTAACATGATAACTACTCAACATATAATAGTTTCTGATACGTCAGACACCTATCTCCGATCATCTCCCGTTTAGACGAGGCATTAAATATTATGATATTATTACGTGAGTATTTCTGTATTGGCCTGAGGCGAAGCCGAAGTCCAATACAGCTGGCCGAGGACCAATAACAAGGCCAATACAGAAATACACGTAATAGTATCTTTATTAATTAACTACAGTGTTACAATATTTTTTTTATTTCATTTCACAAGAGATAAACATTTTTACCTTGAAGTGGAACTATCCAAATCTCAGTTTCTTTTTATAAGATGCTCTATCTAATGATCTGGTGTCGTTTCCAGGTGTCTTAAGCATTTTCATATGCCTGGTTCGGGTTTAAAAATAAATGACAGTTTACAAAACATGAGAAGCGAAAGTAAACAGTAAATCGATTTGTACCATCGTGAAATTATGAGGTCGACAAGAAATGAACTTTGTGATAATCTACTCGTTCCCCAAACCTGAAATAATTCCATCGTCAGCTTTCAAAATGCTTTTTAAATGAATGTGACCTTCTTTAGCCTGAAATATATGCCATACTGAACGTTTCAGCATGTTTATGGTGAGTAAGTGAAAACTGCGTCTTCCAAACAACTGTTTACTTTCAGTTTGTGTTTATCGTGACTTTCGATCTAAAAACTAGAGACGTTCCGAAATCCTGTATTGGCCGGATCAGAACTCGGCCAATACAGAAAAAAAATCTATATTGGCCGAGTTATTCTGTATTGGCCGAGTTGACACCTTTATATTGCATAGGCAGTTTTCATCATATTAAGTCCAATAACAGTGTAGTTAATTAATAATTCTATATATTGAATGATCTTGAAAATGTTCGTCACATTTTTCTCAAGTACTACATAGAATGACTATCATGTTTTGGTGATCAGATTGGCAACGATGAGTAGTAACGTGTGAACGCATTTTATTCTTTTTATCTTAGGGACACCTACTTCTTGTTTCCATTACGCGTGCATTCTTATATGTATTTCAAGCATGCATAAAGATACTTATAAAACTCACAAAGACACCAGGCTTATAATTTTTTACGACAGACGCGCGTTTCATCTACAAAATACTCATCATTGACGCGCGAATCAAAAAAGATAAAAAGGCCAAAAAAGGTAAAATTTGAAGGCTTTAACTCCGGTGTTTTCTTAAATATTTGACTTTATCATTATTGTATAGACATATAGAGACTAAAAGACCAGTCTTGCAAACATTACAATTTCTTCGTGTGTCGGTATATTTCACAATCTATTGGTTTCTATGGGAAATTCAATGGTCAGTACAGTTCCTGCTCCACAAGATACATATTTAATGTGACATTAATTATTCAACACTAAATCGAGGGTAAAATGTTGCAATTTTCCGAATCAAATCATAAAGACGCTATCCTTTGGAGTCAGATCTGAGGAGTACATTTTTCTTTTGAACAGATCTGAATACCAAGATAATTTTACCAGCAGCTGTCTGCGGAATCACAATACTTTTCATTACCATCCTTGGTATAAGCAGCTGTATTTATAAACACAAACAAAGGTATGCTATCGTTTTTAATCCTTTATTAGAATAAGAAGATGTGGTGTGATTGTCAATGAGACAACACTCCACAAAAGACCTAATGACATAGTATTTAACATCTATAGGTCACCGTACGGCCTTTAACAATGAGCAAAACCCATACCGCAGTCAGCTATAAAAGGCCCCGAAATGACAGATGTAAAACAATTCAAACGAGAAAACTAACGGCCAGATTTATGTACGATACAATGAAAGAAAAAGAAATATGATATACAAACGACAACCACTGAATTACAGGCTCCTGACTTTGGACAGGGCATATACAGAACGTTCGTTTTTAATCCTATATGTTGTTTTGTGTTAAATTTGGAAAAAAAATATACCTTGCTTTATGCTTCAAAGATTATATACATGTGTAAGCATATTAATTTCAAGTTAGATTCTGGAATTACCAATACACAATGTACTTTTAAGTATAATTTGTTAAATTGTAATTTATGGATCAAAGTATCATTTCTGTTTTAAAAAAAATCAATGTCAAAATATCTTAGTACTAGTAAACAGATAAAAAACATTTGATCCCTGTGGAAATGATTTACCTGTTCAACTTTACATTGTAGAAAAATAATAAGAAGCGGCAGTACGAAATCACTAAGAAGTATTGGGAAACCATGTATTATCTTTCCGACAAAAGATAGCTCAAACAAACTAAAAGTTCCTCCTCTAACGATGGATGAATCTAAAAGCGGGAATGGCTGGATAGAAGATTCCTTGTCACTTTCAAATGGGCGAAATTCTGTTGCTAGCTTGACCAAGGTCAATATATTGCAAAATGGACCTCATATTGAAAACAGTTTTAGATATACAGGACTACCATCAAAATGGGAAAACAGAGGAGCACCTATTTCTGGACACATTGTTAAGAATAACTATAAAGGAAGTTTGTCTGTTGAGAATCTAGACTGATTCTAACACTTCTTTCATTGCTATGAAATCATGTTTTGCATTCATACATAGTGTACAATTGATAAAACAAAAGTTTGTTTGATAGAAATCATTGATATTAAGAGGTAGGATCAGTTTCCCCTGTTTTTGTTTAACTCAAAGGTTAAAATCAGAAATTAAAGTTGTTAAAATCTACCGGAAAATTTGGAATATTCAGAGTCTATATAATAAATATTAAACATCTAATTACTTAAAGGTGCATAAGCTATCGAATTCATGTTTACCGATTTAACTAAAACTTTCATATTTTATGTATACCATAGTGAAACGAATATCCAATTTGCAATAGTAAAAAAATCAACGAACAATTCATGAGGTCTCTACAATGTTGAAGCATTTCTTACGTATTTTGGTGCAGGTGCCATCTCATTATTCATCGAGATGACCTCTGAATACTGCCGACGGACATATAACCTGAAATGAACAAAATATAAATATAAACATGTAGTGAGCACGTGGAATCGGATTTTTCTAGGTCTGTTTGATTCCATGTTGTAGGTTGAACATATATAGAAATCATCGTTTTCCTTGTATGAAAATGATTTTTTGTGGGCCGGAAAGGTCAACGAAATGGTTATTCTTGGTGGCTCCATAGTTTCACTTTTGAATATTGACATTCTTTTCGTTTGAATGAACGAGCAACATGATGATAACATGTGCATCTATCTCATCTTAAGGTCAAATTAAAAGGTTGCATGAACACGGATTCAAATGAGTTGACCTATTCACTTGGGAGTCAATAATACACCAGTTATGTTTTAAAGCTTATTTTGACTCAACTAAACCAAATTGACTGCTTATAGCAATATATTGTTCTATTTTTTTATAGCTTTTATGAATGTTTGAAACAAAAAAAAATCATATGTTATTAATTTGTCGAATTTGTAGCTAACGCACCTTTAATTGTATAACAAGAATTACTTTACAATAACATTTAGAAGTTGTATGATATAAGGGACTTTCCGTTTTGAATTTTCCTTGGAGTTCGGTATTTTTGTTACTTTACTTTATATTATATGCATATTTGTCTTACACTTATTGAATATTGTTGAGTTAATTTAAATGATACCAATACTGTATGAATTCATCATTTTTACCTGTTTTAAACATGGTATATTTCATTACAATTTCTCACTTTTTTTTATGTGTGTGTGTTTGTTTGATTATTTTGTAAATTTTTTTTGGTTATATTTCAATGTACTCCATTAGGGCCTAATGGATGATAACTTTCAGACCTTACTGTGTTTATCTCTTTAAATAAAATTATTATTATTATCATTATTATTTTTTTATTAATTGTCAACAACAATATATATTTGTATGGTCAACATGTTGTTCAGTTCTATTTATTGCTGTTTAATACAATTTTGATACAATGCTGCAACTGGCATATTTTGTAAAATTTAGCATTAAACGATGTCAATAACCAAAATGAATTAATTAGTTTCTGAAAAAAAATATTCCGATGGTTGTTGAAGGTTCAATAGATTTTGATTAAGAAACCCTTCTTTCACATTTTTGAAAATAAAAACTCAAATTTATACCAAGTCTTTAAAATTTGCGGTTTTAAACTATCTTTTTGGCATTCATGATAGGTCTTTTGTCTAGAAATAAGCCATGATATTGTTAAAACCTCAAAATTCACACATAAATCTATGATACTGTGAATTTTAGTATTCATTGAGACTTTTTCAATATGGCCATAGTATGAAACAAATTCTGGGGAAATTTGCCATACCTCTTATTGAATAGTTCAACCATTCTGACTGTCATAATACAAGCGTTTTGATAAAAAGCTTAACTAAGTTAACATACTTATATTTGAGCTTGCAATATAATGAAATGATTGATTGATCCATCATTAATTGCTTAAGACCCAGTGAAAGATGTTACCTAAATGTTCATGACGAAAAAATACATTACCAATAAACATCATGAGTAGCTAGGTATAAAAAGTGGGTAGATTGGTATGAAGGGTAGGAAATATAGACTGTCGTTGGAAAAAGAGGGAATGTTAGACATAAACTGTATATAGGAGAAAACATGTTGCTTTGCAACAGACCAGCTACGGGCCTAAAGAGTTGTTACAAGGGTTACAAAATTTGCAGATAGTGTGGCACTTCCCCTGCACGAGACATCGTTTTTAGCACTCATTTCGACGTGCCTGATTATTCATACATTCCACACAACAAAACAAACAAATAAAGGTGCATTTATTTATAGGCGGAGACATCAATGTAAAAGAGGGCTTGACCACTGATCTAAGTGTTCTTTAACGTAAAGAGAGCATGACACTCTCTGTCCCCCTACACTAGCAATAAGTTTAAACATACACATTCCGAGCATGTGATTTGAATTTAAACATATTTTATTCATAACGATATGAAAAGGATTGAGTAACAGGCAAAGCCTATAACAGCTCTCTCCATACTACATGTACAAGGTATAATTCAACAATTAATAACTGTATTTAAAATAATAAAATATAGTGGGAAATGCATGCTACTTATGAGCACACACAAACAAATATATATTTACAGTGTTAATTACTAAAAGTATAGTATATTTAAGTATGTAGGCAATTAATTATCATTTATTCAAGTACCTTGAGGCATGTAAATATCTTTTATAAGTCATTAGGAATATAGATATGAGGTTTGGAAGAGACACTTAGCTCACTTTGTGCATTAAATAAAAATAATATTGGAAAAAAAGGAAAGAAATGGAGAAAAAAAATAAAGACTTAATAGAAAAAAATAAATAAATTTCAAACAAAACGGTGAATGTCATTGATATATTTCTGAACAGATTTAAAAAATAACAATATTCTTATCACAAGAAAATAATCTGTTTCCAAAAAGTAATAAGTCAATATCTATGTCAACATTATCATCAACAATTGAGTAAATAGAACCAAGTAAGATCTGTCTTACATCGTTGTACTTAGGGCAAATAAAAAAGAAATGCTGGTTATCCTCAACAGGGTGATTACAGTCTAGATTTCGCACTGTTAAAAAGACGAATAAATGGTGATTTAATTATAGGTGTAGACGGTGTCCTGTGTAGCTTGACCACAGGCTGTTTCCATAAAGTTTACCAATACTTTCTATTTTAAAGAAATTAAACAGTAGTAAAGTTTCAATAAATGCATTTGAAATCAATGCGCCGGACAGGAGCCGGTCATTTCCATTATCACAACTACATTTGTACTATATACATTTGGTTGTATCATTTTGCCACTATTTTTTTTTTTTTATATTTTTGTCAAAATATTTACAGATAAAAATATAATCGTGTTTGTTATTTATTTTAAATTAAGGACAGACAGTAATGAGAGGGTATGAAATATATGAGATTATTTGTAATATTGACTTCTTCATCTAACGTAACGAATTGTCTTTACGATGAGCAACATGACGAATTCAATATGTTAGCAGTATCTGCTCACTCTTCCGGAGCACATGAGAGCGACTGCCGGGTATGTGTTGCTAAGCCTTTAGTTTTCTATGTAGTTATTTTTTTTGTCTTTTCATCGTTTTTTGTCATGGCGTTGTCCGTTTGTCTTCGTCTTATGAGTTTTGAATGGCCCTTGATATCGTCTTCGAGAAGTATCGTCCGCCTTTTTCCTGATTATTTACCCATTTATCTGACGTCAGTCTGTTGTTATAAATCCTCTTATACATAAAAAGTATAAACAAATATATCGAACTCCAAATTTGAAAGCAAATGGAAAAAGGGTCAAAATCAAACGTTCGACTATGTCAAACTCATAAGCAGAAAAAAAAACCTGACAACGTCATGTCTAAAAAAGAAAAAGACCAACAGACAAACAGACAAAGAACAGCACACAAAACACAACATATAAAAAATAAAAACTGAGCAACACGAACCCCATCAAAAACTTAGGTCAAGTCAGGTACTCCAAAATACATAGATTTTTTTATAGTGCTAACCCTGCATTCTTATCTTATTCGGCGGAGAATGTCTGTTGTAAAGTTGTCATATATTTAGAGTAAGATATTCCATATGCATGCCATAATGTTACAACCGTAAGGTGCAACAGCAAGGAAAGTCAATATTCGACTTACTTATTATATGTCAATATAGTCTAGGTGAGTGGTTTTGAACTCTAGACAAAGTGCTGGTTGATGTCACAGAAGGATTGGTTCAACTCACGCTGGGGGACGAGGAAACACAAATTTGGTACCTTAAAGCAAATCTGATATTGTTTGGCTAAATTTCAGAGAGGTATATGTAATTTGTGGTGTTATATGTAGCCCTGTCTATTCCTAGGTTATCCGATTATAACGATGTTACTATGCAGTCATTTCTCTAACTGAACCAACATTTCAGACAGTCTAACCGCTATCTCCATCACATAACCGTATGCAATGTTATGTGATTGAACAGAACAATCAATGAGAAAATACTCAGTGTTTGGATCGGACAACTTTTGAGAACTGCATCTTCTTCACCAAGACGGTATACGGTAAATAGTATATATTTCCAATACTCTCTGTTTGTTGATCAGAGTTTCCTGCAAATTGTTATCAGTTTAATATCCATGATATGTTTTTAGTAGAATGCGGAAACGAATATCTAGTTGAAAACTTCGATTTTCAATACAAATTATTGAAGAAAAAAAAAGCATTCATCCATGTGGTTTGTTTCGCGGGTTTGTAGAGAACGTTAACGTTCAGTCTGATGAAAAAGATATATTACATTAAAAGTCGTATTTATGGGCGGATAGTCTCACATCTTTTTTTTTCGAAAATTGCAGGTTTTCACTCACTGCAATCGCGCGTTATTAATCCTTTGTGTCTTTTCATACCTCCTGTACAGTGTAATCTACATTTGAGGTCAATATACAATAGTAAACCAATGTTGATCTGAAACTATCATCATCTGAAAAGTCTGAACAATAAATAATTCAGTCATGTTCAGTTTTTCAGTCAATTATCAGACATACACTCTGCGGTCAATTCAATACAGTTCATACAATTCTCTTGCAGTCAATTCTGTGCGGTAGCTTTTTAGACAATTCAGTATGATGTTAATTTATACTGGTAAAACAAATACTGAACAGTCTAAACATATTGAGTGGCGAAGTTATGAGACGACTACATCTGATTAACATAGAAATGATAAATAAATATTTGATCTTATCTCTTGGTCTAAAAAGACCAACTAGTTCTGATAAAACATGAATCGGGTCATTATCTTAATTTATTCAGATGCAATAACATTTTAGAAGAGGTTTCATAGTTATGGACTTGGAATAAAATCAAAATTGCACCTAATTTTCTGTCATCAAATTGATACCTTATCACTGCTTTTGTATGTCAATATGAATCGTTGTACTATCTTGTCTTTAGACTGGTTAATTGAAAAAAAAACTTGTATTTTTTGTTTGCTTTTTTATTTGTTCTATATAAATATCTTTACTAGTCAATTAAAGGTATATATAAATAAGTATTTCTGTGACTGCATCTTACGATCCTTTATGACAGATAATTTAGCTTATCTGCAATCAATTCCATCTTCAGCCTAATATATCATGTACTGTGTTACAACTCTAGATTCTACTGACGAGGAAAGGTAACACTAGGTCACCGAAAGCTGAATTTTTTAGTTCAATCTAGGTTGCCGAGTGGTCTAGAGCGCTGGAAACAGTGCAGGCGATATTGTCACGATATCCGAATAGCATGAGTTCGAATCCCGGCGAGGGAAGAACAAAATTTGCTTCCGGAAATTTGCAGATTTAACATTGTTGTGGTGATATTTAGAGTAATATCATAAATATATACTTGTTTAGAGACAAATGCGTGTCGTGAATTTTCAGAATTGTTAGACCTTCGACGTCAGGTTATTTAAAAATTATCAAAAAGACATAAAACATTAATGTTTTAAAAAATATGCTCCAATCTAGAGGCGTCGGAGAAAGTACTCAAAACAAAATCGTCCTTTTTTTTAATATAAAACAAGAGAGAAAAGTCAATAGGCAAAAATATATTGTGGGTGGGCATTGTTTTGGAAGAGACTTTTGTAGTAATACTTTCAAACAAACCTTCAATCAAATACTTTAACAAAACCATTTCACATTGTCAAAGTCATCTATAATTGTTCATATAAATTAAAACATTGATAAATCTACGGTTCAGTAAATAAAATCATAATAGTGTCGTTACTATTATCAAACAATGCAAGTTAATTGTTCAAAACAAATAAGACATTTACATGTAAACAGTATAGTAGTTGTCTACCCAAACGTTGAAATC